GGATTAACCGTATTTACATTGAACCTTATGGGAAAATTTGATTTGGGTCGCGACCAATTCAGGTCGCGACCAGTGTCGCGGAACGAATTAAGTTCATGACTCGAGGTACCACTGTAGATCAAGAAGTTAGAAGCTGGAACATAAAGGAAATGAGGGAAGCAGAAGAGCAAAAAAAAAAAAGAAAAAAGAAAAGGCAGGGAAAATTCTCAAATAAAGTTATGGGAACACGTGTGCTGCCCAAGAGAAGGGCAAAAAAAGATCCATGATTGTTCCATAATACATATAGATGAGGTTCAGCACAAAAGAGAAACAACATAGCCAAAATTGTAGCGTTCTACCAGTCCTTTCCACTTACTTCTTTCTCCTCATGCTTTGAGGTCTCTTGCTCTTTTGCTTCTTGGTTCACTTTTGGTTTGGATCTACATCGCCCTTTCTTGCATCTCCCACTACAGGCCTTCTGCTCCCCCTTGCGAAGAGCTTGAAGCCTCGTGAGCAACTTGGCCTTCCAAGCCTCAAAATCAGCCTCAATGCTTCCATGCTGGCTCTTTACCACATTGCTGTCCCCTCGGGCACACGATAGAATGCGTCGAGCACCCAGCATCCACAGCCACTTGTCAACATTCCTGCTTACCTGCCAAGGAAACAAGAGGCAGACGGGCAACATTTGGGTCATAAAAGGCAAACAGTGCTATTCATTCATATTGGGCCTATTTGGAAGGTTCCATGTTCAATGGGACTGACAGTTGAAGGAGTCTATCCCACCTAGAAGCCCTCCAGAAGCGCTGGATTCCATTATGGGAAATGAAGGCCATCACATCTAGTTTGGAAATACTAGCGTAAAGGTCTCACATCACAGGATGGGAAAGATAACTCTGCTTGGGATCTTGGAGGGTAACTGCTACTCAAAATAGGCAAGTCATAACCACCTGTGACTCCAGCAGTAGAACATGCTGTCAGCCTTTATGGCACTTGCCTAAAACCCAAAGTGATTCCTTTCCAAGCATAATTCTCACAAAATCTCTTTAGTAGAATTTATTGAAAAGAAAGGGACTGGACTACAAAAATTCCATCAATTGAACTATTTCCCATCTAGATGAAGATATCCCAATATACATTATATGGTGGAGATCTTTTTATTCTCTTTCAAACTGTCTTCCTATGATCTGGTGATATAGCAGGTCTTTTTACTGGTAACAGAAGCTTGCAGCTGATGATTGACACAACTGTCTCCTGAATCTTTATCAGACTAAGAGCCAATGACTACACACATTCTTTGCATGAAGGTCCTAGACTCAAATCCTAGCAGCTTACAGGAAATGGCCTTTCCTAGTCTTCTTACAATAGGAGATAACAATCAGTAGTCGTCCCCTTTTGTAGCACTTCCAACCCACCCGATCCTGACTACTGAAAATTAACAGCACCATTTTTCACCATTTTGAAGTAGGAAGCAGGTATTCTCTAAACCCTAAAATAGGCATGTAAGAGATTTTAAAAAAGCAAAATCTCCGAATCTCTCCCCTCAAGTCCCCAAGTCCATCCATATAAGACGAGGCTCCACCAGTTTTGCACCCCTCAGTTCCCTCACATTAAATACAGTCCCTGGGCACCAAAAGGTTGCCTACTGCTCTCATATCAGCAAGCTACAAGCAAATCATTCAAGGACCTCTAGAATTTTCTTTTGCTCCAGAGAACAGATCAAGGGCAATTTCTCTATAATAGCGGGTAGTTCCTTAAAGAAAAAGTGGATAGGTGGGGAGTTCATTGACCACATGGGATTGATAGAAAATTTTTTAAAAAGAAGTGGACGTAAAAGCAGTATCCATCCAGGTAAAGCAGGATAGGAAGAACATTGATGCTTTTGAACTTTGGTGTTGGAGAAGACTCCTGAGAATACCATGGACAACCAAGAAGACAAACCAATGAATCACTGAACAAATCAAGTCAAGAGTTCTCACTCGAGGTACGAATGACCAGGCTCAGATTATCCTACTTTGGACACAGTATGTGAAGACCTAACTCTCTGGGAAAGGCTGTAATGCTGGGAAAAGTGGATGGAAAGAGAAGGAAGAAGACAACCAGCATCATTACAATGGTGATGAGTGCACTGTTGGAAGACCTGAAAGACCAGGTTGGGGACAGGACTCCCTCAGGGGTAACCTTGTAATAAATGGCTCCACTTTTCTCTTTTTTACCCATGTTACTAGGCCCAAGCAGTTTTGGAGTGTGTGGTGCTAGACTACAAACACAACACTGGAGTAATTAAGCAAAGAAGAATATTCATTTTAATAAAAACATTAAAGAAAAGATTTGAGGGACTCATTTAACTACCCCAACTACCAAGCCAAGGTTAGGGCTCAGTTATTTACAAACTGTCTGAGCAAACAAGAGATGCAGAAAATTGGAGCAGATATAAAAATGTACAAAACTGAGCAAGCAACACTGAATAGAAATAAAAAATCCCTCACACAACTAAACAAATGTTTCCTGCCTACTTTACCCCCATCTCCATTTCTCCCAGAGCTTTGGGGTGCTGGGGTAGAATTCTTCAGCCCAACTGCATGACAGCGCTTTTGCTAAGATACCTGCTTCCCACATGGCCTAAGAATAAAGAAGCTTTCTTCCCCACCCTCCAAAATTAGAAAGGACGGTGGCTGTATTTCAACCTTCCATATGGCCAGTGAGGCACCCAAAATTAAGAGTCTCCTTAATCCACCACCAAGACATTTCAGAAAAAATGAACAACTTGTAACCACAAATTGATTGACACTGATTAAAATACCTGCCCCAAAGTCAGAATACCCTAACATGGTAGGGTATTTCCTATAGACTTGTCTTCCATGAAGAATTTCAGGAAAACATGAGTTAAGAATTCAATGAAGATCCTTTGAGGACTGAAACTCCTTTGTTAAACAAAAGGGTTACATCTCAGTCTCCAGCCACTTATCAGTATCATGCCTAGGGGTTAAAAAAAAAAAATGAAAGCAGTACTCACAGTGTTGAAGTGGTCAGCATACACTGAATTTCCCAAACCAAAGACAGCGTATCGCAAGCCCTTCAGATATGCCTTGCCAACTCTGAAGTCATTGGCTGCCTCTTCCAGCCACTTGCAGAACCACGCAGCATTCTCCGTGGGTTTGCCCTCAGTGTAAGTGGCAACTAAGAACACGCAGATATTCTGGCTGCTGATCTGGACAAATCCCCAAAGGAAAACAGGTTTTTTGCCTAAGTCACCACATTTAAAACAACCACTGTTCATAGTAAAAAAAAGAAAAAATCAAAATGCCAAAATTCCATTCAAATTAACTCATCTTTGAAGAGCTGGCCCTACCATTAGATGAAGGGAATTAGCCTTCTCAAGCAGCAGATTCTGTGTGCCACTAAAGGATATGAAACTATTAACTGTTCCATATATTATGGCATTTTTTATGCAAAGGAGGAGTTCTGTGGGGGGGGGTTCCTCAAGTGCCCCCAAATAACTTAATTATGTTGGGGCATTATTCTCTTTGATTGGGGACAGACCATCCTGGAGAAGTTCTATCAGGTTGCTAAGAATCGACACTAACTTGACGGCACATAATCAAACAATTAAAATATTATTTT